TTTCTCCACACGAGCAAGGGATCTCGACAGGGGCGGCCCCGTCGTGTCCGCGCGCCTCGCCCAGGCCCGAATCGGGCAGAGGGCCAGAAGGTCGCTCGCGGCTTGGGCGGCCGTCGGATGACGAGCCGGCCCGAGGCAGCGTCGCTCCTGCCCCCCTCTCGGAGGCTGCCAGAAGGGTTCGTTGGATAAGGTTGGTTTCGCTGGATTCGAGGTCCTCCTAACCCGACCTTAGGCGCTCCAGCGCGACCTGGGGCGCCCCAGCAGCGGTCGAAATCACCCTTCTTGGACCAGACCTTCTCGCCGTCCTCGAGCCTCGTCCGGGGCCTTTAGAATTACATAATATGGGTGCTAGTCTCCTCTCTTCCCTGCCTCTGTCTGTAGAGTGTCCCGTCCTCGCCGTGTATGGTGTCTTTTTTCTACAAGATCTCACATTTTTTCGGCGTTTTTTTCGATCCGGTCGTTTTTGATTATTCCATTGCAGTGTTCCACACGAGTTTGTATTGCAGCTCACTTGTAAAGCCGTCCACCGTATGTGGCTACCTCTGCTCAAGCCTTTTTCGTACGCGAGCCCTCGACGGCCCCGCGACGATCAGGACTGGTGCATGGTCGTCGGCCAGGTCGCCCAGGCAGCGATCCTCGGGGCGGCGAACATCGGCGGAGCCTGGCTGGGCCGTTGCCCCGCTTGCCCGCCGCAGCCGGGGTGCCCGGCGCCTGCGTTGAGCTGCCCACCGGTCTCGCTCACCTGCCCGGCGCCCCCGGCGCCGCCAGCGCTGACCTGCCCGCAGGTGACCTGCGCGGCTCCCGCGTGCCCGCCGTCCGAGGCGCCGGCGCGCGAGGAGGTGGTGCCTTGCCCCTCGCCGGCCCGCGAGGACGCGGGCGCCGACGGCCGCGCGGCCGCCTGCCTGCCACTGTGGGCCGTGGTGCTGATCGCGGCGGTGGCCTGGGGCTGCGGAGCCGGCTCGGTCGCCTGCCTGGCACAAGGGTGCGCTCGTCGAGGACAGCATGCTGGCCGTGGTGTCATCGTCCGACCTGGTGCCGGGGGGCGTGATTCTAGTCCGCTACGCCGCGGACGATCTTTGGCATGAGCGAGTGCTGTGCTGGGCGCTGCCCGTCGACAGGAGCGGTGCCGTGCACTGGGTGGTGGCAACGCCCGACGGAGACATGTATGTGGAGACGATCGAGGGAGGCAGTCCCGACGACAGCCCGGTGGAATGGATCCGCCCGGCGACCGACGGACGCCTCCCTGCTGGTTTCCAGGACGCCGTATACTCCTTCCAGCGTGGCGAGATAGACGGGGCCCTCCTAGAGAAATGCGTGAAGAAGGGTGCCACCATGGCGTTGAAGGACGCCAAAGAGCACGGCGAGGCCCCCGTCACCATGACCGTGGCCCGGGCGCCGGGCGGCCGCAGGGTGCCAATCGAGGACGTCGTAGGCGCGGGGTTCGTGCAGCTGGCGCTCCGTGACGGTGCCCTTGACGGCGCAGACGCGGGTGGAGGTGTGGTGGCAGGGACTGCTACGCCTGGTACCTGCGTGTGGCGCGTGGTGGAAGTGGGCAACTCGTTGGGGTATGACGTGGGCCGTGAGGTGAAGCCCGTGACGGTGTACATTGGCTGCAAGGGCGTCTACTCGCCCGACGGCAAGGACGCAGTGTTCGTGGAGCTCAGTGACGAGAACGAGGGCGACTTCGTCAAGAGGGTGACACCGCGTCCCCCGCCCAAGGAGGCCCCGGCGCAGGACGCGCGCACGCTGGCCATCAAGTTCAACCCGCAGGGCCGTATGCGAGACTGGCGAGATGTGGTGGATAGCTGCCAACAGGAAGACTTCGACGACTTCCCTGTGAGCGGCCCCCGCAGCATGAGCTGGTGCCTGCACTTCTTACGGCGACGCCACACCCCCTTGGACCATCATCTGATGTTCCGCAGCACGTGCTCGCTGAAGCCTGAGCAGTGGGGGGTGGCCGAGCATGAGACCCTGCTGCGCATCATCGAGCTTGCGGGGCAGTGCGACCAATTGGACGTGACGAACCTGGCGTGCATGGAGGCGGCGGCGCGCAGGGTGCAGACCATCGAGTGGGCCTACCACGACAAGATCAGGGAAACCGACGCGGGGTCCACCTCGCGGCTGTCCATCGAAGAGGCCACGGCCTTCTCGGGCCTCAGCCGTGCGGGGGATTTGATGATGGTGGCGCCCGCTCTCCTAGAGCACGTGAAGTTGCAAGTAGAGAAGGACGCGGCCATCATGAAGAACATCAGGAAGGCCAAGGAGGAGAGGGAGCTGAGGAGGAAGGACAACAAGGGCAACAACAAAGAGAAGGGGTGAGAGCCCCCGGGGAGGAGGGGGGCCAGCATAGCCCTCCTGCCCCGACGCCACCTCCTGGCTTGCATCGTGTGGTACCTGATGAAGGCTTAATTCATAGTCACCCTCCTGGGCTTGGGCCTCCCGGCATGGGTAAGCCAGCTCGGCCGCTGCGCTCGGGCGGCCCACGCCATCGTGACATTTTTCCTCTTCCTTATCACGCCTGGAGTACTGCTGACATCGACGCTTCGGTCTGCTCAGCGGCTAGTGGCGACGACCGACCCCAGGCCCCATGTCGGCGCGTGAGGCGTCGCACCCTGAGGCGCCAGGCCGTCGCCAGCATAGCCAACCGGGCGATCTACACCCTCAGCGACTTGGCAGGCGGCGAGCGGGGGTCTTCCGCCTCGCAGCCTGGCGAGGGGCGGGCCCCGCACGTGGTAGTGCAGCGACGTGTGTATGCGGCCGCCGCGGCGATGTGCCTGCCGCCTGCTCTCTCGCCCTCGGGTGCCCTGCAGGAGCTCCGGGGGTGCACGGTGTACGAGGACGTCCAGTCCACCGTGGTGCCCTTCGACGATATGAAGGCCCCACTGCCGATGAGCGGTAATCGTCCCGTTCCCTTGGCAGATTTTTCTTGGGGCCGGTGGTCAAGCTGAAGTCGACGGGTTTCTTGATTCTCATCTTCTCGAACCAGAAGCAGCCTCCTACAACCTCAAGGGGGCCCCTCGGGAGACCTACATGGACGAGGTGCTTCGGAACTCTCCGCGTGAATACCGGCGGCTGGTCAAGAGGCTCGAGAGGGCCGGGATGATTGACTGCGCCATCCAGCCGCAGGAGTTTTGTTCGCTCTTCTTCGTGAGAAAGAAAAGCGGGAGCCAGCGGCTGGTCGTCGACTGCCGCCGCTCCAACTGCTGGTTCTCGGCCGCGGACCCCGTCCAGCTCAGCGCGGGCGCCGGCCTCGGGAACCTAGAGGTGCCGGACGGGGCGCGGCTGTACGTCGGCCACGTGGACATCGAGGATGCCTTCTACCCCTTCGAGCTGCCGGAGCGCGTGCGCAACTTGTTCGCGCTGCCGGCGGTGCCGGCTTGGATGGCTGGCCTTGCTGAGGTGGGCGGCGTGAGAGTGAGCCCGGGCACCCCTGTGTATCCGCGGCTTCGAGTGCTTTCCATGGGATGGTCACGCGCACTGTGGGTTTGTCAGACCTTGCATCGCCGGATCATCCGGGACATTCCGGGCCTCGAGCCGACCTCGTTTCTGCGCGACCGAGGGCCAGCGCCTGCGACCACCCCCGCATGCCATACCGTCTACGTTGACAATTTTTTGGCGCTGGGCACCTGCCGATCGACAGTCGAGCGGCTGGTGCGTCAGGTCGATGAAGCTCTGCAGTCCCGGGGCCTTCCGACACACGAGATAGCCACAAGCTCTCTGGAGGAGGAGGTCTTTGGGTGGGAAATCAACGGAATACTGGGCTTCATTCGACCGCGGCCAGACTGTGCGTGGCGCATGCGGCTTGCGCTGGACGGCTTGCTAGAAACGAAGAAGGTGTCCGCCCGCGACATCGAGAAAGTTGTGGGGCACTGCACCTTCTTAGCCCTCCTCAGTCGGACCTCGCTCTCCATCTTCCGGTCCGTCTACACCTTCATCGCTCGTCATCGTGATCACGGTACCGTGCCGCTCTGGGACTCAGTTCGCTGGGAGCTCGAGGCCTTCAGGAACGTCATTCCCTTGATTCGTCGTGATTTTGGGGCTCCGTGGAGTTCGAAGGTTATGGCATCGGACGCTTCTTTCTGGGGCTACGGCGTCGTCTCTCGGGACCTCCAAATTTCAACAGCTAGGGCGCGTCAGTGAACGATGGCGGTTCTCGGGTAAGGCTCAGGTCAGATCTCGTGAAGGGGTTCTGGGGCCCGACGGGGAGCTCGACATCGGCGACTGGGTGGAGAAGGTGGAGGAGGACAGTCAGGAGAGGGAGGGCGCCCTTTCGGATCTGCCGGAGGTCTTGAAGGAGAGGGGGTGGGCGGTGCTGATGAGCAAGAAATGGGAGGTCCCCATCTCCAACATCGTTCAGGGAGAAGCTCGGGGCCTCACTGCTGCTGTAAAACATGTATGCCGATCTATGAAGAATTTCGGACGTCGCCATCTTCTCATGTTGGATTCCCTTACTTGCGTACTGGCTCTGTGCAAAGGACGGTCATCCGCCGTCGGCGTCTGCGCCGCGCTCCGATCCGTGGCCGCCCATGGCCTTGCCACGGGCGCGGTCTTCTCGGGCCGATGGTTCCCCAGCGAGTGGAACCGTGCTGACGGCCCGTCGCGGGGGCTTGGCCACTCTGGATACGGTGGCGTTCCTGTTGGCAAGGTCGATGCCCGGAGCGACCACCGCGCCTTGGGTGACAGCTGCGGCGCCGCGTGTGTGCCCGAGGTCGCCCGCGCTCACCTACCCAGTGCGGGCCTGCCCAGTGCTGGGTTGGCGACGACCGAGGGCGCCCTCGCCGCCGAGCACGGCGACGGCAGGCTCTTCGCCGGGCCCGCCGCCTTGGCGCCCGTCGGGGCCTGCGAGGACAAGCCCGCGGCTGCTGCGCAGCGCTGCCACCCGGCGGAAGGCGGCGCGGCGAGCGCTGCGGCTGCCGACGGCAGGCCGACAGCGTTATCTGCGGCCTCGGTCCGTCCGGACCGAAGCAGTGCGCCGACGCTACTCGGAGTGCTTAGAGGAG